ATGCCAACAGCGAAACACTTGTTGTTTCAGCCAAGTAAAAACTGCATCCGAACGAACTGAACTGCGAGCTAGATCAGCTGCCACAAACACACGAGCCACTTGTGTCAATTAAACAGAGCAACTATTGCACAGTTGAATGCACTCAGACTGGATTCCATTCGATTCCTTTCGATGCGATTCGGCTCTCCCTTGGCACTTAATCATGCAGCGATGCGTGGCAAAAAGCATTTGCTAAAGCAGCCGGAGCCAAAACAAAACTTCACTTCAAGTTAACTTCATTTGGCCAACGGCGTAATTTTAACTGCTGCTAACGCCGCAGCGGAGTTGCTTAAGATGAGCATTACACGAGGACGTCGCACCCTCAGCTTGAGCTCATCTGGCTGCTGGCTGCTGGCTGTTGGCTTGTCGTCCTTGCTCGACATTTCAATGCCTTTTTAATCTAGAACAAAAGCAAACTTAATTTGCCACAACATCTCCGATGGGCGCACGGCGAAGCCAAAGCACTTCCTCGGCAGCTCCCACCCGGCTGAGTGGAGCTCCAGCGAGCATTACGTCACTTGGCACATAATTTAATTACAACAACAGCCCCTTCGCACACCCACTGCCTTGGCTTAGCTACTTTGATCTACCCTATACACTCACCTCACTCTCTCCCTCTGCCGCGCTCTCTCTCTCTCTCTCCCACTCTCCCTCTGGCTGAGGCTTTGTGCAACAATTGGCGGCACTCGCTTCGAGTGTTGAATGAGCAACAACTTTCCCGAGTGCAACGCGTCCTGAATTGTAATTAGTGCCTCCTGCTCGCTGTCTCCTGCTGCCCGCCGTTGCCTGCTGCGTATGATAGTCTAGTCCATAAAACCGAGCTGCTCCCAGCTGCTGCCACCCCGGTCGAGGCATTTGCCTCACTTGATTTGTGGAGTGCGCATTTGTAATTGTTATTACGTGTAAAGTGGAACAAGTTCGAGAGTTTAGCTCCAGTTCCGGCTACATTTTCAGCTGTTTTTCCACTTTTCCTCACAATTCCTACTTCAACTACGGCCGTAGCTGCAATTTCTATTTTAACTTTAGCTCTCTAACAGACTCTGACTTCAACTGCATCTCCACTATTAGCTCCAGCTCCAGATCCGGTTCCTACACCATTTAAATTTCTTATTCCACCTGCAACTTCCACTTTCAACCACATATCTCTCTCTCTCTCTCTCTCTTACTATCTCTTTCATTCTCTTTCTCTCTCTCTCTCTCCCTCTCTCTCCCTCTGTTTTTCTCAATCAGTCTCTCAATTCCGACTACTTATATAACTTATATATCAGCTCTAGCTTCCTATACTTTCAGGTCCCAGGTCCCGCTCCAATTTCGTGGGCAATTCCTACACCAACTTCACTTTCGACTCCAGCTCTAAGCATCAAGACCACCCAGGCTCATCGGAAGCTTTTTCCAGTCCAGCATCTCTCGAAACTACAGCTACATTCACTTCATTGTTCTATCCTTAGCTCTTAATTTATTTTTCCCTCCAGCTCAGACTAACTATACCTCCAACTCCGAAAATAAATCCTCCTTCTTACTTAATAAATACTACATATGTATTTTAAATATACTGCTTTTTCATGAAATTATTGAGGCTGACACGGTTGCACCCGCCGTGTAAACTTCCTAGGCGCAATATTGTTTCGGGGTGAGATGGAGTTGCTACTACAAGAACCCCTAGGAAGACCACTGGGACTACCTCCAGGATGACCACCAGGACAACCGCCAGGACGATTGATAATTATCGAGTGGTTTAGAAAAAACTTATAAGATAATAGTAATTGAAATTGAATATGAATGAGCAATAATTTTGCACATCAGTTTTATTTTAGACATACATACCCACTTTCAAAAATTACAGGGTATGCTGCAGCTCGAGTGTTTTGCAGCAGCTTCAATTGCACTGAAAAGACAACAACTGCGGCATATCAATGCGAAATCTTGACTTTAAAATTAAATGAAAAACAACTGAAAACATTTGCAGTCGGGCATAACTGACGGCGTAATACCTGTCCAAAAGAAACAAATTGCAATAGGAGCTTTAGATGATGTCAACAGTAAATAATAAGCTTTTAGCTATAAAACTAGAGTAGGGAGAGAGAGAGAGAGAGAGAGAGAGAGGAAGTGAGAGAAAGAAAGAGAGAGGGAGAGAGACAGAGAGAACGACACAGAGACACACAATGAGATTGCGATTATTCTACCACTTTGTGCAACGCCCCCAAATGGATGCTATGTAAACTCTTTCATATTCTAGCAGATAAAGCAACTAGCCCCCCAATTCAACAAGGCAATATACCCCTTTTCACTCCAAGCGCAAGTATGAAAAGTAAAAACTAAAAAATAAAAAAGGCAAAAAAAAAAAACAGAAATTCAACTGAAAATGCGGCGCACAATTCCCATTAAAGGCGTTGGCATAATTTTTAAATATCAAGGCTATTGGCCGAGCCCTTTTTTAGCCCAGCAGCTGCTGCCAAAGGTCGAGCGAAAGGGGGAGACAGAAATACTAGAAGTGAGAGAGAGAGAGAAAGAGAGAGGGAGAGGGAGAGGGCGGCTATATGAACTGTGTGCCAATCAAATAGAAATTTAATTTGCACAACAATGTGGCCAAAAAGGAGAGGGGAGAGTGGGGGTGAGGGTGTTACGACACTAAGCCCAGCTAAGGCCATCCATGGCCTCAGCTTGAACCCATTTGAACCCCTTGAAACAAGAGAATTATTAACCCCATTGAGCATCGACTTACACCTCGTCCGACTCCAGCTCCAGCTCCAGCTCCGGCTCCGACTTCGACTCTGATGCCCACTTCATCTCCGCAAGTCCATAAAATTGTGATTTACTTGCGCTTGAGATTTCAATTATGTTCGCTTTATTGCCAATAAATTTTCATATAAATTAGGCAAACGTAAAGTTCGAAAAACCCAAACAAAATATTTCGAAAAAAAACCCTTTTTATGAAAAAATTAAATTTAAAAAAAATAATAAAAAAAAAAAGACTGAGCAATACTGACTGCATAATACTCGCTCACAGTATAGGGGCCACAAAATATTAATGCAATTGTGTTATCTTTACGATTTATAGAATATATGTATGTACATATATATAGCAGA